ACTTCCTGATAGCATGTGACTTCTCATTGCTCTAAAGCGCACGCAGGGATTGGTTCTGTGCTATAGCTATGCAGAGGAGTAAAGGAATGTCATTTCAGTATTTTATTATTCTGTAGAAAACATCTGTGGCACAGTGCCTGTGAAAATGATGATTATCAGCCATGAACAGATATGACAGTTCACTTCAGAAATTAGTTTATTGTTCTCTGGAACATTGCATTTACTTTCCAAAATAAACAAAACTGTTTGCTTCTGGTAAATGGTGAAAAACACTTCAGCTTCTTTGTGAGTAGGAAGGATAATCTCCAGGGAGAATGAGTCATGAAAACGTTAGTATAGTTGGAACTTACTGTTCTACAATTACATTATTTTAATTGTTAGGATTTTTGATACCCAAATGGAAGCATTCATTATACTGCTTTTTTATCTTGGAGGTGGACAGTCTACTAAAATAAAAATCTTAACCCAAATCTATGTTAGCTAAGCGACCTTCAGCTAGCTTTAGGTCATAAAACCACGATGAACTCAAGTTACAAATTAATCTTTTATTAGCTTCTTTGTTATTCTTTTATTAGTTTCATTTTATTAGCAGGCAAACTGTTGGTGCAATGGTAAAGTGTAGCCTCAGGAAAGAATATTTATAATCCTTTTGGGATGCTTCAGCCTGTGGATTTCTTGACTCATTATTGGCACCATGCATTACTAATTGTTGAAGAGCTTATGTCTTCCTTTTGTCAGACTTTTCACTATCTTTTTATTTATTTATTTGCAAACCAGAAAGCAGTAGGACCAAAGAAAACGAGATATGATAATAGTTAGAGGGGCAGATCAGTCATACCAGCAGCGGTAGGGGGAAGAAGGATTGGGAATAAAGATCCATCAGTTACTGTCATTGCTTTGATTTCCTGGGAGAGTGACTTTAAAGACTGTGGTAGTACGATGTGTAATTAGAGTGCTTTTAGCTGTGGAAAACATCACATAGGTTTTAACATTTTAACAAAATAGGAAGATTTTGATTTTTGCACAGCTGTGTATCAATGCAAAAGAGATGCTTGTCATTCCCAGTGTTTAATCTGAAGAAGTTCTGCAGAAGAGGAGTCAAGTATTTGGCTGGGACATAAGTGTTGACAATGTGTTGTAAAATTCAAAAGTGCATAAGGGGCTGAGTGTGTAGTTCCTGGAGAGGCCTCTTCTGGCAGTGGCAGGAAGAAGCTGTCAGAAGAAATTAGCTGCCGCCTCTGTCTCCTTGGACGGAGCAGGCACGGTGCTCTACTGCTGTTCTCTGTGGCATTGAGGAGTGGAGCCCCACTTCAAAAGGTTTTGAGTGGTTGTAGAAACTGCTTCCTGCAGACATTCACCTGCATTTTGTGTGTGACTGCTTTTGCAAGTTGTAAGCTGGAATTTTTTACTTTTATCATAGGGCCTTGCCAAGGGATAGCTTCATGGGTAGCCAGTGGTCCTGGTCCTGGAGCTTGTTTAGGGTTTGTATGTTACAGATGTCCTCTAAAGAATAATCTCAAATTAGATGCTAGAGGATTTGTGTAGTGGGCTGGTGGAGTTTTTATAAAGGGACAGAAAACGAAGAGGTGACGAAAACTTGCTTATAGACCTGTAGGAGCGTTGAAACCAATGTATTTGGCTCTGATATTTGGCACAGACTGTTGCTGTATGTGCTAATTCAAGATTGACAATCTTCCTGACTCAGTGAGCTGCATAAGGTTGACAACTATCTTGTGCTGAGAGTGGAAGGAGAGGACTATAGGAGAGGCTCACCAGCAGAGGTGATCTCACCCTGCAGATCACATAGCACTATTGCAGGGCAAGGCGTACAGCTGAGTGTCAGGCATGCTAGGCAGTGTGATATGGTCAGCCCTTGCCAGGCTGTGAACTTCTATATGTAGAGATTTGGGGTTACCTAGTGTCCCTGTAGCAGGATAGCCTTCTTGAGCACCACCCGCTAGTGAAACTGTAGATGGGCTGTTCTTCCTGATTTTCCCTCCTGCTCCACTGATTCCCGAACACCATGCCCTAAACGACTGTCCACCAACAACAGTTGCTGTGAGCTGCCACATGCCTTCGCAAAACTTAAAGAACAGCCATCTTAAACACACCGTGGTCCCACGGACTGTTTATTCTGCCTCAAGTCACAGTTAGGAGCGTAGTTGATGTAGCCCAGTGAGTTGTGATCTCTCACAACTTGCAGGAAAAAAATCTAATCTGGATTAAGAGACTCCTAAAATGATGGGCATATCTGTTTCTTGGAAGTGTGTTCATTACTTATTTGTGATACCAAGCCAATTAGAAAACCTACAGCTAGCTAGCAGTTTTTGTACTAATAGTTCACTATCAAATTTATGACTCCCAAGCGTAAGCGGGGTTTGGTGAAAGGTGTATCGTGTTAGGTGACACGATGAGAGAAAATGTGAGGTGTGAGCTGCAGTCAAGATGTCTGTTGTGATCCATGGGTCAGCTGCAGATAGTTCACTGCAGTTTGAAACACTGTCTTGAGGAAAAACAGCGTTGAATTGCCAAATAATATAAGTGATATAGATACTAACTTAGAATATACATGCATTTCAATTTATGAACGTATCTCTCAATGTGTGCAGGTTAAATGAGATTATTTTGGCAGCTGTTTTTTCTGAAAGCTAACTCTCTCCTAGAATTCCTTCCTGATTCTGTATTTAAACAGAAACAGTGAATGGATTTTTCCATATTTGTTTTATGTTACTTTTGTTATTTGCAGATCTATAACTTCCCCCTCTCTGCCCCCAAAATCAAAACATAATAAAACTTCACTTCTCACAGAATGTTTTCTTTCAAGCAAAACTAATGGCTAAGCTCACTGTTTTATGTTGCTGCTGTTTATCAGAGTTTTAGGATCAGTTTACTATATGAAGGTAGCAGTGGTGTATTTTTAATATCGCGATCGCATGATACTAGAATGTCAGTGATTCTCAGAAGATTTCATTCTAAAAACCAAAATAACTTTTATTAAACTGGAAGATAAGTTGCTCTTATGCTGAAAAAAAATGAACTTATCTTGTTCTTCCTCTGCACCATAAATTCAGTTTAGAAGTATTCTGATGCTAGTCAGTTTAAAAAAGAAACATCAGTAAGTATATTCTGCTATTATATACTAGGGATAGTCTTCTTCTGTGAACCTTCTATTTAAAAAAGGAAATTCAGTCGCACCCAGTTTCCCTCATCTCCTTCCTTCTCCCAAATACCTTTTCCTCTGGCTCTTACTTTAATTGGAGTTATGTCTAAGCAATGCTCTTTCAAATGGAAGATGACTTAAAAACCTGGCAACCTTCTCTGCCCTTCTGACAAATTCCACCCCCTGTGCTTTTTTTTTGCCTTAGAGTCAAATCCAGTTTTAATGCAATTGTGGATTATCAGCCAGGATGGATAGTTTTTGAATGTCTGATTCTACAGATACTTATTATTATAATCTTATTAGTCATAGTAGTAAAGAATATATTTGTTGCAAAAACAGAGTCACACCATCATTCTCTGAAGTGTTTGTAAATGTAAGTCCAGACTAATGAAATAATGCTTATTTCTATGAGTATAGCAGCTCTTTGCATGCTGGGAATGTAATAACCCATTTTTTTAAACCTTCAAATGCCTCAAAAAGTCTGAAGTCTAGTTTTGTGTGGGGGTGGCAGAGGGATCACGTAACTGATTTCACTCTTCCTTCTTGGCAGTGCCAGATAATCTGCCTTGTCATTTACAGTCAGTGTAGTGGTAACGTGATGCCTGACTTTAATTCCAGTGCTAGTTGGAACCTGTCCACCTTGGATTTAAAGTCTTTTAATGAAATTACCACAGAATTGCAAAGTTTGACCTGTAAGGGATAAGGAGAGAGATTGTACCCAAGTAATATTTGTGTGCACTTGCCAGCAGACTCAATGGTAGTACCCCACGTTGACAGTAACTGTCTTAGCAACGTTGAAGGCTGCCATCATTACTTATGCAGGGTTTGTAGGAGAGGTGAAATGGTATTTCACCCATAGGGCTGTATATTTACCTCACTTCCTTAAAGTGCTACTAAATGTCACTCTCTGAAGTGGTTTGTGTTTTGTGAGGTAAGAGTTACTCTGTTTCAGTTTTAACCTTACAGATGCAATCAACAGTTCAAATAGAAGGGAAAAGCTTTTTTATATTGCATGATGTCTCATGGCGCTCTAGTGCACACCTGAGCTTGATTGAGAATTGCTGTCCCAAAGACCTCCAGGAAAACTCAGGTTTGAGGGCTGCAGAAAACAAACCAAGATGGCTACACTGACAAATGGTCAGTGAAAGAACAGAGAAAGTTCTTGAATGTTCAGACTGATTTTATAGATTGTGTGTTAAGAGTATTCACACTGCAGATACTGTTGGAGATTTATTTCTGGCCTTTTTTGTATGTAGGGTTTATCCCAAGCTTACTCCAAAACGTGTTGACTTTTTAAGCTGTGTTTTGTTTGAAATGTTAATGTTTAATTGGTGTGTGGATTGGCCTTGCCAAAATTGCAGCTCCTCTAATGCTGAAAACAGCACTGGGCTGTTTCAGAAGTTCATCAGGTGAAAGCATTAAGATTTTTTTTTTTTTCCTTCCTTGCTGTTCACACCAGTTTGGTGAATTATAGGTCAATGGCTTAAAAAAAAAATACTTGTGTTAGCATTGTTATTACTCTGCAAAATCCTTCCTAATCCTTCCTAAAAAGTATGGTTGTAAGAACTTAGCAGCATGTTAATATGTAAGAGTTTGTGAAGATTTTTGCGAAGGCCAATTTCAGAAAATCCAAGAAACAAAGGCGATAGCCACAATATTTCCAAGAAGATCCCTGCTGAGCAATGCAGATGGTTCAGAAGGAATAAATCAGACCTGAGCACAGTTACACCTCCAGATTTAGTTTTGTGAGGAAAGTAGAACAGTGCAAATCAATAGCCTGAATTGTAAATTATTTACTTGTGTAAAGGTACTAATATCAATATCACATTGCTTGTTCTAGAGCATTTCATCCTCGCGAAGTAGAAGCTCATCTCTGCTGCCGCCTGGGACAGTTAATTCTGCATCTCCTAGTGGCCAGAAACATATGAATCAAAGTGGGCCAACTGTTGTAACCATCACCCATCACAAATCACCTGCAGCTGCTCGAAGAGTGAAGAGCCAGCGTTCTGGTCAACTCCATGAAGTCAGAGAGGTAAGAGATAAAAATTTCCTGTTTTGCTATAAACTTCTAAATGCTTATTTTGCTTTAGAATAAGCAACCAAGTCTGACAAATTAACAGTTCTCTTTGTTTCCTACTTTATGTTTGACGGCTTTCTTTTGATCGCCTCGCTGAGCAAAAGGCGGTCTTTAGTTCTGGTTCAGCTTAAAGTCTGGTGTATACAGGCTTTTTTATGCCAATGTTAAAATTAGCATGTGCTAATGAGGAGGTTGGCCACAGCTCCCAGACTTTGCAGTGGTGCTGCAGTGCTGGAGGAACATCTCTTTTAAGCTGCGTGCAGCAAAACCTTTCAGATTGGAAAGAGGGCACTGAAGCATTTAAATATAACCAGAAAAAACCAACTTGAATAAGTCTTTTGAATGAATGTAAAAGAAGGCACAGTGTCCCACACTCAGCAGTTTGCTTCTATATGGCCATAGTCTTAACTTTGTTGTCAAGTTTCTATTGCTGGCTTTGTGATGAAAGAATGCTTTGTCCGTATTAAACACATGAAAAGCAAACCAGAAAGCACGTTTCTTTCAAAGCGTGTTTACCAGGGTTTAAGAAGTATAACTCGTGTACTGATTTAAGTCTATCTTCCAGACCACAAAAATAGTACAGAGTTTTAAGCTTAAATAGTATGGCAGATTTTCACAGAACTCATTTTCATCTTTCTTTCATCCCTTGTTATTTTTGCTTTGTCTGAATTTCTCACTATTCTCTAGTAGTGCCTTTGTAGGTCCCCTTCCCACCCCTTCTACCAAAGAAACTGTTGGCAGCCTAGCTGCTTTAAAACATTCTCTTATCACATGGGTTTAAAATATCTACCCCAATCCTTCAAGTTGCAATCTCAAGAGTCTGCTTTTAAGTTTATGCTCCCTAAATATTTTATAAATGGAGACCTTTCATATTAAGAATTTGACTAAATTCTTAGTGTGTGCTCACAATGAAGACTCAAATTACACATCTTGATGAAGAATGCTTGTTTTTATTCTAGTAACATTAAAAGTGAAAACTTCCCTTGTATCCTCTATTGTATTAAAAAGTCATTCCTTTCTCTGAAGAGCACTGTCTGAATGTCACACGTTTTCTTTACATTATAGAAAACACACATCTGTTTGTTTTTCATGAGGATATCTTGTCTTTGCCTACCAATCATCTCCACCAAGTTGTTTCTACCTTACTAAATGTATTTGCTCTCATAGGTTGAATTCAGAGTGCACCTTAAACCTATTAATAAAATAAACGGTGGGAGCTGATGCAGCTTTGTCAAATGAAGCTGGGTAGGGCTGAAAGGAATTTAGAAGAGAGAATTAGTATATGTGCTGATCATAGTAAGTTGGGAAGGGAATAAGTCAACAGATGCGAAGAACTACCCTTGGGAACAAAGAAAAAAATACTAGCCTATAGTAAAACAGAGAATAAGTGGCTAGCTATCATCCCTGCAGAAAAGGCCTGCGGGTTGCTGACTCATTTGTTTGCAGTGTATTGCAATGTGGTGTCACTCCAAAAAGGTAAATATTATAGGACTTTAATCATGGAAGATAATTATTTTGCTATGTTGATGTGAGTGATACCTCACCTGCAGCACTAAATCCTGTGAGAACAACTTAGAGGGCTGCAATTAAAAAATCTTACACGTTAGACATACGATAATGATTGAAGGTTAAAAGAAATGAGTGTTTTTCAGGCAGGGAAAATGGTACTAACATAAACAATGCATAAGAAAATTTTATAAGAGGCGTGTGAACTTTACCTTTTTGTGTATTCGATCTTTTTTTGTGTGCTGCTAGAAGAGCATATCAGTGGAAAGATCAGTCTTTCTGCCCTCTTTCCCAGTCTCATGTAAAAAGTGGCTGCTTGACTGATCTCGTTTCCATGTTTTGAAAGGATAAGTCTATTTTTCCAGATTAAGGAAGCAGGCAGATTTCATTTCAATGTCATGCTCTGTGCATTTCCTTCTCCCTCCTTTTCCAGAGTGAATGCAATAGACTCGGGTATATGCTGCCTGTTTTTTCAGGGAATATTCTTGTTCCCTATGTGAGTCAATGGTGACTGTTAGATCTACCCTCCCTTGTTAAATTTATGAATAAAGAGATGGTCCAGAGACCTTAAAAAAAGTGAACTTAAATCTGTTCTAGTCCTTTTTTTTTTAATCTGAAGCAAGGAGACATGGGAACTAAAATACAGTAAGAGAGAGTTAATCCCCTCCCCAACACCCAAATCTTTGCTTTTTATTTGGAAGTTGTTTGGTATGATTTGGATGAAGGGAAGAGACTACAAAAGGATTATAGATCTGTGTTAGTGTTCCCATTATAGAATGGAAGTCATTGAAGCTTTGACATGCAAATAAGCTTTTTTTATTGTACTATAAATAGGACTACATTAACTAATTTTACATCTTGTAAAATACAGTAGTTGAATCAATGGAAAGAATTGATATGCTTATGGAAAATTAGAAGCAGCACATAGTTTTAAAATTTAAGAACAATGTTATGGTAATATTACGATGTTATATATGAGATCTGTGAAAAACAGGAATGCTGCAAAAGGGGCATCCTTCACTTGGGACATATGGTCTTCACTAGCTTGGACAATATCCCTGGGAAATGCTGAACTTGAAATTGCTACTCAATTCTGGACCAGTTATTCTTGATTTGGCCATGTTATTTGCAAACAGTGAAGTGTATCTCCATGTTGCAAATAGGACAAAATGTACTTTTATATTTGACATAATGCAATGATATTTGGTAATACTTGGTTGTTCTTTTTCCCCTTTTTTCCTTTCATAATAAGAATAAACAATATATTGTTTCCTTCTGTTGTTTGTTCTGGCTGATGTAATTTTTTTTTTTTTCAGACAGCATAGAGAATTTTAGTGTAAAACAAATCACAGCAAAGAGGTCTATTTAGAACCAAACTGATGTGCAAAATTCTGTAGAGGTAGTAAAGGCAACTGTGTAGGTCTCCAAAATGACACATGTAATAATTATTTCTCGTGTGAAATTAGAACTTACTTTTTTCCAAAAGTTTGGTAAGTTAAAATTGAGCAGGAGTATAGAGCTTTTGACTGCTATAAAAACTTTACTTTTAATACTCAAGCTACTTTTGTATAGCATTGAATTGAAAAGAAGCTCAGGAGCATTACTTTTCATCATAATGTAACTGTTTTTGTTTAAAATAATATTGCTCTCTTAAATCAGACTTTTGCTTATATTAACTTGATGTTAACAGTCCAGTTTTGGACTATGGAACGTTATATCAAAACTAAAATTCACCATACATTAATTTGAAAGAGCTGATCTACTATGTGTTGCATTTTATGCAGAATTATTCAAGATCCTACCTCTTTATTCGGGCCATAACTTATAATTAAAGGGGTGCTTTCAACTGATTTTTTAGTAAGTGATTTTATGGTAACCTAAGTGTGTGTGGTCTTGAAATTGAATTCTGTTTTTTAAACTATGCATATTATTATCCTCTTAGCAATTTGTGGTAAGAGTTATACTTGCAAAATTCTTTACTGTCAGCGGTTAAAATTAACTGGAACATAAAGCCAAGTGGCCACATCACACTTCATATTAAATTTTAGCTGCCACTCAACTAAGTAATAGTGGCACACTTCATCTTGGAATGGTGTTTATTTTGGCTGAGAATGTCTAACTATTGTACCGCCTCTGCCAATGTTACCATAGTTGTTAAAGAACCCAGAAATGCAGTATGTGAACATTTTGTAGTAACTTATGTACAGAAGTTTAGAGAAATTAAATGGGGTTAACCAAAGGAAGTCTAGAGATTTTTTTTTTCCATAATTTTAAAAAGTCGATAGAGGAATTTCTGATCCTTTGAAATGTGTTGTTTGTTACAACTTGTGATTCTCTACAGTGGACTAGTCATCAGCATGTGTTTCTGAAAAGCTGGTACAGTGAGATCCGGATTTCATGGGGCTTCCACCAGTGTGACATCCATTTTATGTGCCAGTGGGCAGTTCCAGGATTTGGAAGGGACTGCTTTTTGGTAAGAAGACAGTCCTGCTGCTTCTTCCATGTCCTTTGCCATATATAAACATGGTTACTTTTTAATTCCTGCAGGAATTACGCAACCAGCTGGTAGTTCTTTCCTTCCTCCCTTACAGTATAGGAGAATCTAGGACTTCTACCTAAGGCTTCACGGAGTGAGGTTTTACCTGCAATTTTGCGGGGCCACAATTGTCCAGTTTTATGTGGGTACCAGGAGAAAGAGATACTTTGGGAATTTTCAAGTGAGAAGTGAATGTCACTGTAATATTTGGATAGCAAAATTAGGAACTGTGACTAGCTATTGATAGAGGAAAAGGATGCTGTTGTCCATGGAGAACTTTTTGTTCTGTTACAGAATTATAGCCCTGCACAGGCAGCATTGTAGGTGAGCAAAGCAGATGCGGTATTTAAATCACTCGGGGAGACATTCAGACTTGCACGACTTTCATGTATGTGAACACACGAAGACATAAACTAAGCTGTATGTTGATGGTAAAACTTTGTAATCAGCATTTAAGCTGGTAGTAGGGGAAAACCTGATGATTTTTGTTTCATGCCAAATTTTACTTTTCAACTTTGAAAAAGTCAAGTTTTGCTTTTTATTTCATTTTTTTAATCCACCTTTTGTTTTTCGGGAAGTATGTACATAAAAAGGTCAATCGGTAAGAAGAGAAGAAGTCTAATGCCAGTTCTAGCAAAAAGAATGCTGTAGCTCTTGATGTTTGGCATAGCATTGAGGTTATGTGATAAGTAAGGGTGCATGTAAAAAAATTGTTGATTCAGATCTTTGAACAGGACATCATGCATAAAGTGTGAAGTATGCACAAGGAACATTTGAAAAACAATCCTGCTAATAATTGAAATGTTTTTGAAAGCAGGTGTATAATTGTGATTAATTTGATAAACTTCTGTGTAAGTAGGGAGAAGAGCTATGTATTAGATCTATTGCTTTCACTGACAGTTCTCATCTTGAT